TACCAATAAAAGAATTTAATACAAAAAATAAATAAATAAATACATAAAAACAAAACAAAACAGCAGCAAAACAGTGACCTCCTCCTGTTCAATTTCAAAGATCATTCTTCAATTCTATCTCCTTTTGGTCTTTCAATTTCACCTCCTGACATAAATATTGGTTCTTAAAGCTTAATAACACTGACTTCTAAGACACTATGATTTTTAAGTTTTCTTACTGTTTTCCTGATCTGATTTTCTTAATTTACCTGGTGGGGGCAGTGCCCCAATATTCCCAACAACCAATAACCAACTGTTCCCTATGCCCCAACAACAAACTGTTCTCTCTATTCATTTGTTTTATTGGGGGTTACATTCATTCATAAATTCCCTCCCCTCCCCCTCCTCCCTCTCTTCCTCTCCCCTTCCCCTCCTTCCCCTCTCCCTCTTCTTCTCCCTCTCTCTGTGGTACTAGGGAATACAGGACCTTTTTCATACTAGGCCAGCATTGTACAACAATAGTATAATCCCAGGCCCAAACATTTTAATTTTTCTTTTTTTTTGGTACCTGGGATTGAACTTGTGCTTGTGAAGCAGGCAGGGTGCCACTGAGCTAAATCCCTGGCCCCTAACCATTTTAACCTTACCTTTTCCAAGATCTTCTTTATTCTTTTAAATTCTCTTAATTCTCTTAAAAGTAAATTCTTCAGTTGTCTATCAATAACTCATCCAAATATGTCTCTAATTAAGTCATTCCAATATAAACCAGTATTTCTTCCTCAGTTCCTGGTTGCTATCCTCACTATTTCTCACATCTCTGAATACTTCAATTCCTTTTGATTCTCATTCTTCTAACAGCTAACCATAGAGACAGAGTGCTCCCCTGCATTTTCTCAGGTGTGCTTCGCCTTCCCACTTCCATATCAAGATTCTTGATTTTCTTTTTATTCATTTAAATTTACTTTTTATTGTGATACAATATGTACAACATAAAATTATTAGCTTCTAAATAATTTTTAAGTGCACAGTTCTAAGGCATTAAGTATATTCATCCTGTCTTGCCAGCCATTATCACCAACTCTGCAGCCATTAAGCAGTGACTTCCCGTTACTTTTTAAACTTTTAATCCTTTCTAGTTCTATTTAAATATATCCTACATATCTGTTAAAATAAGCTTCAACAAAAAACATTAATAGACTTCCCCAATTCAAATGTCTGATACTGTTTGTTTTTTTTGTGAGACAGGTCCAGACTGATAATGTAGTCCAGGCTGGCTGAAAACTCACAGTGATCCTCCTGCCTCAGCCTCTGGAGTGCTGGGATTACAGGCACGTGCCACCACACCCGGCCTGATACTGTTTTGTTTTTTGTTTTTGTAGTGTTGAGGATTGAACCCAGGGCTTTCCACATGCTAGGCAAGCACTCTACCACTGAGCTACACCTCCAGCCCCTCATATTGCTCATTACTGATCATATCAAAAGCAGCAGTCATCCTTTAAATGCAGTAGTTCTGTTGCTGGTTACTATCCTAATGCTGACTGAAGAATCATTTTAGTTAGACATTCTTCTAAACTAAAATTTTGGCTTAGAATGCTAACAACAACAATAAACCCGTGCCAAAATTATAATAATAGAACATTTGTTATACTATGACAATTATTGCTCTTTTCAGAAAAATGCACCTTGAGGCTGTAACGTTAAGTGAATTAAATCAGATACACAAGCTTAAATATCACATGATTTCTCGTATATGAAAAACCCAAATTATAAATAATTTAGAGAGCAAAAATAAAACAGATAAGAGGAAGCAGGGATAGATCTTTTGCAAATGGGAAGGTGACCAAAAGATAAGGAGAAAGGGAATGTGAAAGAGAAGTAAAAAGCATTAAGGTGCACTAAGTACATGTACCAATTCCCCATGATGAATGTAATCATTATATGCTACAAACATGTACTGATTAAAAATTTTAAAAATTAAAAAAGAAAACACACATGGTTACAGAGGTACCAAAAAAATAAATACAATTTTAAAAAGAAAAATGCCTTGGGCTGAGGATTTAGCTCAGTGGTTCTGCTGCCTGCCTTGCAAGCGCAAGGACCCGAGTTTGATCCCCAGTACCAAAAAAAAAAAGAAAAAAAAAAGAAAAATGCCTTGAGTCTGTGCTTTTAATTAACTAGAATGTACTTCTAAATAATAATTGATGGACCTCTAGTTTATCTGAATAATCATTAATTCATTATGTTTCCGGATTATAAACTTGATGCTTAATGATTTTAAAGCAAAAATAATTCAACCCTACTATTAATCTGTTTTTATTAAGTAGCTCTATTTCATAAATATGTTCAATGCTGCCTTTTTTTTTTTTTTTGATGGTATTAGTCCTATAAGACAGAGACCATAAACATCAACTCTTTTTGTATATTACCTGTAAGAACAGAGTGCACAGATTGGTAGTTAAAGTTTTTATATTCCTAACAAGGGGAGAAAAACTATACATCCATCTGAATATTTCAAGTAAGCCTCAAACAAGCAACCACATTAAATAAACATTCCTTTCACTGAAAGGAAGGAGAGGAAGGGAAGAGGAAAAGGAGCAATGAAATAGAAAGGGACTAAGAAAAGAAAGAAGAAAAGAAGGAAGAGTGAGGGCAGGAGGGAAGGAGAAAGGGAGGAAGGGAGAAAGAAAAAGGAAAAGGAAAATGTGTACAAATAATTTGTTGCTTCTAATTCATTACAGGGTCAACTCAAGAAATATAAATGGAGCTTATTTCAAATGCTCAGACAGCACATTAGGAAAATGATGCCTGCGAAGGCAATAAGTGACCAAACTAAACAGCTAGATAAACTGTAACTGGCAATTAATTAAACTGTACTAAAGATGAAAACTAGGAGTCTTAAAAAAACAAAAACAAAAAATATCTGCCTTCTGCTGATAATGTTTGTGAACACTAGATGGCAATGAACTGAAGGTTTAAAAGTAAAAGAGATTCTTACATAAAAATGGAGTTATTTAATATAAGAGACAGAAGATACAACCATTTCACTTCAAAATAAATACCAGTATTTGACAGTGACACTTACCCGGGAAGAGATCTGTACATCTCATAAATATCTCCCAGTAGATCAGTCCAAGTGCATACATGTCTACTTGCTTCAAAGCTGATTCACAGTCCCTCAGGTTCACAGCTCCTTCTAGCACTTCTGGTGCCATATACCTAATTGTACCAACCTGACAAATTAAAGTGATTTTTTTCAGAAATAGAATAGCACTAGATATTCCTACGTATAAAAAATTTGTAAGACACAGTAAGTAAAAAACTTGCAAAAAATAAGTACACCATTTAATATTCTTAAAATTCATAAAAATACATTTATGTATATGTGAATGCAGAGAAAAAGATCAAAAAGAATATGTTTGACATCTGAAGGGTGATTACAGGTGAGGGACTATCTGATCTCAAACCTGGTAACTTTACTGACTTCAAAAATCAATTCCTAAGGGCTGGGGATTTAGCTCAGTGGTTCCGCTGCCTGCCTTGCAAGCGCAAGGACCCAAGTTCGATCCCCGGTACCAAAAAAATAAATTAATTAATTAAATTTAAAAAAAATCAATTCCTACATACTTCTTCCTAATATGTGTCAAAATGAGTTAAAATGACAGTGGTTTATAAAATGGACTGATGAACTGGAATACACTCACCTCACTGATGGCTGCATTGTCTTCTTCCCCTGGGCGTACCAATCTATTTCCTGTCAGCCTCATAGACAAACCGAAGTCGCTAATAACACAGGTTCCATCATTTTTCACCAGCACGTTTCTGCTGTTTAAGTCTCGATGGGAAATTGCAGGTTTATAATGATCTGTTTGAATAATTTCAAAAATGTATTAATGCTTAAAATTAGAATTATTACTTGCTTGTTCATTTCATGCCCAATAAGAACTGCATAAATATAGAAGTATCAGTTTTGCTGCCCATTAGTTTTCTAATAATAAAAAAGGACACAAAAAATCAGTTTCAGCTCATTACTATTTTCTAACTCCTGTTGCATGTATAGCTAATTAAGCATTAAACTTGCAGCTGAAACTAACAGAAAATATGCTCCAGTTCCTAATTCTAAAACAAACTGGTTTCTTTTTATTTCTAGGGCAGCAAAAGGAGACAATACAGAAGGAAATATTTGGCACTCGCACACACACACAATCAGCTTGTCTGAAATAAGTATCAGTAAAAAATTAACGTGGCTAACTTTTACATAAATCTTACACTGTTTTTTTATTACACTGTTCTCTTACATCTTAATGAATCAAACCTGTAATAGTTCATCTCATTTCTATTTTATTTGCTTTTAGTTTTTAATTAATTAATTTTGGTTTTTTGAGACAGGGTCTCACTCTGTAGTTCAGGCTGGCTTTGAACTTACTATGTAGCCCATGCTGGCCTCAAACTTGCAGCAATCCTGCCTTAGCCTCCTGAGTGCTGGGATTATAGGTGGTTATCAACATGCCTGGCCTATTTTTTTATTTTTTTGAGACAGGGTCTCATATGTCATTCAGGCCAGCCTTGAACTCATCAAGTAGCCCAGTCTGGCCTCAAACTCAACATAATTAACCTGCCTTGACTTCGAAGTGTTAGGATTACAGGTGTGTGCTATCATGCCCAGCACCTACCAATGACTTAGCCAGATCTCTAAGCCCAATTCAGGTCTTCAATTCTAACTAGAAATAGTTAACAATGCAATGGGAGAACCCATAAAACAGGAAGATTTGTTCTCAGGTTTTACAGAAGAGAAGCAATGTTATATTTATTCTACTGCCTGATTAGCCTTATCACTGGAATATAGGCTCCATGAAAATCAAAACAGAACATGTTTTATCTGAAATGAAAAGGCTTAACAGAGAAAATGGTAAATTCTTGGTGACTAAAATGAATCTAACCTAAGCATCTCATAAAACATTATATTATTTTTTCAATCTCTCAAGGAAACTGATATAAACCTTATATGAAACAAAACTATGGCTCTAGAAATGAAAAAAAAAGTTCTATAAGCAGAATTTTTGAAATTTAAAACATTTCCCTAGGAATAAAAGAAATAATCAGAACTAAGTAAATGAAAAGTCCACTGAGGGCTGGAGATTTAGCTTAGCGGTTCTGGCACCTGCCTTGCAAGCGCAAGGTTCCAAGCTCGATTCCCGGTACCCCCCAAAAAATCCACTGACTATTTGTTTTTAGGAACAGATTCTCGATATTTAGATGTATCACTGTCATTAATAAGCATTCAAATGCAATTTACCGACCATGAAACTATAGGCAGAGGATAACGATCCCTTAGATATAAAAAACTAAAGCAACAGAACAATATGAAGAAACAGTAAGAGTTAACAAATTCAATCTAGGAGTTGATTTTTTTCTCATTTTTTTCCCTTTCCTACTTCCTGTTCCAGTGTTCCAAAGCTTGTATTTAACTTGGCTACTCAATTCCTGTACCTCTTAGCCCGGATGAAACCATAAGTAATATGGTATAACCTTGAGCTAATATTTATATAGGAGAATGTATGGAAATACTGGAAAATGTTTGATACTAAATCAAGTCAATATTTAAATTTAAAAAACCCCTCATACTCAGGGCAAACTAAACTGACGACATGGAGAACATGCAACAAGTCAATGAGGCAGCCAGAAGGAAAAATAGGTTAGTATATTTTCTGCTATTACTAAAAAGAAAAAAGAAAAGAAAAGCTAGAGAGAGAGAGAAAGTAAGAGAAGAAGGCAGCAAGGGAGAGAGAAGAAAAAAGAAGAGACAAGTAGGACCAACGCCAATGCAAAGCACAGAGCTACAGACCGATCTTTTCTTTTCAAATTCCCTTCATATTCGTTTTGATATTTCTTATTTGAATGAATGAGGATGGGGCCAAAACACACAAGGACTTTTGGCTTTGGGCACAGCACTGTACTAAGCAAATATCTCAAAGGAAAGCACTCCAAGCTTTTATTTTATTTAGACCCATACACATATACGAACACACACACACACACACACACACACACACACACACACAGACCAAGGACTTGGAAGACAAACACAAAACTTAGTAATTTTTTGAAGTCAGAGTGACCTATATGTATTTTTTGTGTGCCAGATTTTTGTCTGGTAGTGAGCATGCACTGCAATTATAAGAGGAAAAAAATCACAGAGGGAATAATTACAAATAAATAGGATCAACTTCTCTATTCTGAAGGAAAAAACAGCTGAATAAGTATACCAGTATTATTTCTTACTACTGAATTTCTACTCTGAGCAATAAAGTTTCATCTGAAGATACTGGGAAGAACAGAATTTTCTAAAAGAACACTTTAAATGCTTAAAATAGTATCATATTCTTGGAAATATTTTTAAAGAAATTAGGCAAAAATCATAAATTAAAATAGCTGTAGTAATTATATGAAGTTTTTGAAAAGGTAATTGGTGATAATATTAGCTAACTTTTTAGAATAATAGCTCTGCTTAAAAAAATTTCAACTGAAGTTTGACTTGAACCCTTGCTGAATCATGCAAACCTTGAAAAGGGAGCTAGGATAGTATTCTAAGTTCTGTGCTAAGCCAGCTTTTAAAAGGAATGATAATACTTAAGAGTGCAGGAACAGAGTCCAATGGTTAATGTGCTAAAGCACTAAAGCAAGCACATCAAGTTGCTGACACAGGCAATAACTCAGGTCAATTCTGTACTCAGGAAAAGCAAGATGTCAAGATAAATGAACTGATAAATTATTCAGAAGAAATTATTTATATATGAAGCATCAGCTAGAAAAGATGATCCGAGCTATTATATAATGAAACAAAGATCTAAGAAACTGATACATTAAAGTTCTCTTCACTAAAGAGGTCAAGGAGACTGAAAAAACAATGTTAGGGCTACAAAATGACCAAAAAAATGTGGTAAGGTAGGAAAAAGCTTGAGAAAGCAAAGACAGAATTATCATAGTCAAGCTAATTTAGGGGTGTCTGTGATGTGAGGTGTATACTGAAACAAAGTGAGAAAGCAAATGTATTAAAAAGAGAGGCTTTGAACCACTAGCAAAAATGTGCACGAAAGTTGAGCAAGAATAGTTATGACAAAGAATAGAATTCGCCCTCTCCTACTTAGTAAGAGAATCCAGCATTACCTGAGGCAACAATACACTCAGCCAAACAACACACTATATTCCCAGTCTCTTTTACCGCTAAGTGTGAACTAGTTCTGGGAAACAAAATGTAAGGACAAGAGTGAGATTTCTGGAGGTAAAAGAAGACAATTCTTTTTACTTTCTCTTTTCTTTTTTCTGCCTCAATTATAGCACAATGGACAATGAGGTAACATTGAAAATGAAGGCCACATATAAAATATGGGGGAAGAAATATATTGTGCACTGATAATATACCATGGTGCTACTAAACCAACCTAGAAACCTAGAGGATTTCTTTCTTTTTCTCTTTCTTTCTCTCTAAATTCTTTTATTGGTACATTTTAGGCATACAATACATTTACATTTATCACTGGGTGCTTGTACCTGTACATGATGTATCTTGGTTCCTATTTTTTTCCCTATTACCTGTGTGCCCTTCACCCTCTCCACCCTTCCCTATTTACATAATTTCATTTCCATTTTTTTTTCTCATAATTTTTCCTTTCCCTTCTTTCCTTTCTCCTTCCCCT